ATTTTTATTAATACTAGCTACTCTCGCGCGGTTTCACCCGCTGCTCGGCTCCATTTGATCGTAGCATAATGTTTTATAACCAATAGCACTCAGGCACATTGTAGCTATCTATCAGTGAAAGAATTTAGGAAATCCGACCAGCGTTTCCAAAGATTACCCCCTACATACAATCTTACAAACATACAAACTTACTTTTACCTCTTTATTTATTTATTTAAAAAAAAGGTACACCAACAGCTTCTGTATATAGCAAATTAAATAAAACAATACTAACATTAGGTTTTGGCCTTATTAGTATAAATATGGACCTATGTCTTTTGTTTCAATGGCTTATTTATTTATTTATTTGAATTTCCAAAAGGAGAGAGTTTCCTAGAGCAGGAGAAGGAACGGGGGAGAGGGGGGGTTTAGTCAGTAAGTCTTAAACTCCCTCCCGGAGAAGGCATTTGATGATTTTCCCCTCACAAAAAGAAGGTTAGCTTAAAAATTTGTATAACTAGGGTGGGTTTTATTTATGCAAATCAAGTGATGTATTTTTTTTGCGCTCTAAACTCTTGATAAAACTGACTACGTCGCTTTATTTTGAGACGTCGTTAACAGTGATCACGCCTGAAATCACAAACAACACAATAGAAAAAAATGCTCGATCTAATTCAAAATCCCACGTAAATCGTTTGACCCAAATACACGTTGTAAATGTCAACACACTCAGAGAACTCTCATCATAATAAAAACGAAGATAAAAAGTGTTCAGTCATCGGTGTTCAGTAAATCGTGGTAGAAAACCAAATAAATATCCTTTGCGCGAAAATGGGTCGCTTTCCAATTGACAACGCATGATTAATGGATACCCAAGTTCGCATAAATCACGCAGATGTTGCGGCGGTATCAAATCTGAAGATATTACTGAACGTTCTCTTGCTGTCATGAACGGGAAACACTTAACATCATACTTACTTTATGCGTTAGCCGCGTTAGACACGCGTCCTTACCGAACTTAAACGAAATACATTACTGTAAGTAGCCTGTCTAGTTAATTACATAAGTTTTTGTAACACCTTGTGTGTTTAGACAGACTAATTTTGTAATGGAATCTATTAAAACTCTACTGTGTTGCAAAATATGTTCATTGTCTGTGCGATGGTTTAAGTAATGAGGTTACTTTCTGTTAGATTACCTCCTTCATAGGTTATAGGAAATAAAATTTGAATTCAGAATAGAAAAATTCTTTTGTTTTCTCCCGCCATTTTGTTACATTTTTCTGTACCCTGTAGTTCAATCTTATTTTAAAATTGTGAACTGAATCCGAGTTCTGTCACAAGACCTGTGAATACCAGAGACAAACTCAAACACATAACAACGTGTCCAGAAGTCGAGATACACAGTGCGAAGGAACATAAAATGAGCACCTTTGTCGAGGCGGTCGTGTTATTGGATTGATCCGAGTATCCCGGCTACAAAGGCCCAATTACGAGGGGATGGCGCGACTACAAGGTCAATCAGTCGACTGACGGCCGTCCGTTCAGTAATGACTCTACCCGGATTTAGCGTCCCTATACTCTAAATTCGAGGACTATGATTTCCTTAACATGTACCTACTTACGTCCCATACAGATTGGGAACACGTATCCTTAATAAATAACCGTGTTAACATTGTACTGTACTTAGAAGTGGCTACCTACTTGTAGAGTGTAATTACTGAGTTGTGTTAACAAGCGAGGAAAGCTTCACACCTTTTAAGTGTAGCTATTAAGCGTAGAGGTCGGAGAAAGGTGCGCAGAATTCTTCGATATGGACTGAAAAAAATATCCAAGAAAATGTTAATAAGTACTGCTTCCAGTAAATGGAATTCGTGTTATCTTTGCGATATAGGTAGGTATACAGTCAAAACGATCATAACATTATCTGTATTATTTGCTGACTTGTTTTTAGAAGGCACGCTTTCAACAGAAATGTTTGATAAACAGAAATCGCGATCACAAACACATTGACCGTGACTTTGTTCTCAGTAAATGCGTACACAAACTACAGCGATACAAACGCTTTATGATCATCTCCATCGGTTCTCCAGCACGCTCCATTGTCCATTGTATATACAAAGAATTCATTCATTTGTGCGAAATGAAGACTGCTGGAATGTGTCGATATATCAAGCTCCTATTGTCTACTTTCTGGGCAAGTGTACAAGCTTCGTTTAACCACAAATGCACCTTTTTATCTTCCATCCATCATTACTTTACAAAATTCTTCTAGAAAAAGAATAGTGATGGACGTCCGCCGTATTATGCAAGCTTAAGGTAAGGCAAGTAGGTAATATTTCAAGTATTTGTATCTTGTAAGTAAGTACGTGACCAATTGGAGCCACGGCCTCTTTTAATTATGCACGGGACGACGAGATTATGACCATAATTGAATGCGCAACGCTTGCTTCCAATGACTCTGTGTCAGTTCAATTAAACTCACAATTATTCAATAACAATTAATCCAAGAAAATTGGTTCTTAAACTGGCATACCAATTCCAAGATCGGTGCAATTCAGCAATGTTCGCAATTTTAATTTAACATTCGATAGAACTTTAATATTGTGATAAACGTACGTTATAAATAATATCGCTTATATATTTATCATCGTTCATCCTCTACGAGAATTTAATGTTAATTACAAAAAGTAATTACGTGCAACTAAAGAGCATGTAAATGTGTACCCATTAAAATATTTTGCCGTTAATATTCCCTGAGCATTTTGGTGTATGTGCTATGTACATTATTTCATTTCCTACATTTACTTAGGTCGGCAGTTAACCCTGCGACTGCGTAGTACGTCGGCGATAACCTAATATTCATAACAGACGGTACCGTGTAGCTAGGAGCACAAGGTCTCCACCGGGTCAATTACTAATCAACTCAAGGAACGGTCGCACTCGGATACTAATGACCAATTATATCAATTAACTCTTGACCAAAACATTTTTGTTCAAACCTTTTATAAAACATCCATCATTGTGAAACGCAGGTATTATAACTTATGTAATCAGCTTTCGTCAATTTCATAAATATTATTAATTTTGTATCCGATTCAATATAGTTAGTCATAATGTTTTATACAGTGCCATTCACAATATTTTTTATTACAAGTACAGTTCTACAGAAATAGTTTTTTCGCCCTGAATTATGATTGTAGGTAATGTGCAATTAATGTAATTTTTAATATAAAATTTCCTTTTATTTTGTTAATTATCCTCTCAGCAACGTTAATGTTGATACCCTACCCATATATGATTAAAAGTTACTTTTTCCTACATACCTAATTAAAAGTAATGAAGTTCGTAAAACTTATTAGTGTGTGGTTAGGTTAGTGAAATAAAACCTCAGAAACTTAAAACCTACTTACGTCTTTATGTATAAATGATTTGTTTGAAATATATAATCATGTACCACCACCAGCCACACCACATAGCCACCAGCCTACAAATACCCACTGCTAAGCAAAAGCTTTGCACCACGCTTGCTTAAGGCAGATTGATAATAACATAATTACTTATAATAAGAAATATTAAAACTAGCTTCCCTCGCTATGTTTTCCTACACCAACTATCAGTTGGAAAGTCCTCTAATCGTCAAGCCAAATCAATTTTCAAATTCAAATTCAATTCAATCATACATCGCCTTAATCTCTAGGCTAGCATGAATTAGTAGCACCAAATGTTATCACAGACAATAAGTAAAAAAGAGATTCTTTGCTTAAAAACTTTCCAGAATCGATCGATACTAAATAGGTATGTGCTATAAAAATATATTTCCCGATCGAGAGAACTAGGAACTTTTCCCGACGGCACCCTATTAGTGTGATATATTTTTGGATAGATTCCTTGTTGGCGGGGTTAACGATGATCCGAACTTGAACGAGTGAGATGTTCTCGTTATTTATCGACCATTTAAACTAGATACTTTGTGCTTAGATATAATCTTATACTAGCATAGTATGTAGACGATGATTACGCAAATATGTCACTAAGGATTGTCCATACAATGATTTCCTTGTACCTAGTTTCCTTTTAGTTATTCTATTTGCATGTGCATAAGTTCTAATATAGAATGCTAAATTGACGATAAAATCAACCTGTACAAACCAGTTCTAGAATAAGACTTATAATAAAATATCTCAATCTAGTCTTTGTTTGTTGATGACTAAGCACAACACTTCGATACAAAACACTGCAGTTAGAATAAGGAAATGAAATGTAGCTATAAAGCTTCTCAGATGTTTATAGATGAACGTGCAATAAATTGTTGGTTGAATTGAGTTAAGAGCATTATAAAGATTGAACGAGGAGAACATTAAAGCAGCCGTATACTAAAGAATAAAGATAAAGAGAAACATGAAACGTTCCCTTTCGTAACTAATATTAATATAGGTACCAATGTATCTATTAACAGGAGTGGCCTGGTGTCTGGTGTGTATAGTAGACCACGTGCGCGCTTGAGCTTACCGCTTTCCACTAACAACAATATCGTGACTCGGCCATTACCTACTTCGCCCCATACCCACTTCTACACTTTTCTGGACACCTTATTTTACCTCCTTTACTTAAAGATCCTATTTGCAATTTTTCGCCACTCACTAATTTACAATACATTAGCTTTTTGTACGAAAGATGTTTGAATTATTAATTGAAATTCCCGGCTCTTAACGAAAGGTTTAATTTAAAGCAAATAAGAAAATCAAATATTATTTTCAGAGCAAACAAGACCAGGCTTTGTTTCTTCAAATATCAAACTGAATGAATCCTTGACATTTGAAGTTACTGTGAGTCAACTTAGTACACTATAAGTAATATCGAAAGTTTAAAAAGGGCGAGGTCATATCGCTCCCGGCGCGGCGGTGATCTACCGGAGGTACTGTCAACACTATCCTAGGTTGCAGTATAATCATCAGTCATCACATCAATTGAGCTACAGTTGAACCAAACCAGTCATAGTACTCAACAACCTGAGTTCTGCGTACTTCCAGTTGCCGTCACGCGCGCCAGTCACCGCTGAGACGTTGATCTGTACGAGCGTGTTGCGCGCGCGCATCCTATCGCCGAATTCGAATTTCTAATCGTGACGCAAAGCAGTGTTGTGTTGTGAGTTGTGCCAATTCGTGACAGTGTACTATACCATCTATGTTACCAATGCTGAATTAACAAAATTACAATGATGTGAAGTGACAGATATCGATGTGATTGTTCGATAACTATGGAAGACGTTTGCATTTTTATGGTAAGGAAGTATGTTTTTTTATTATTATTATATTTATGGGTTCGTTGACATTGTTAGTGGACATTCATATTCGCAATGCATTTCTGTTGTTTTGATGACTACATATTATGTACGACATTTTTTTTAAGTACCTACCGCAACGTTTATAAAGTATTCCTAATTGATTAGATTCATCAATTATTATATCAACTGCAACCTACACTACAAGTACTCAGAAATAAATTATAAAACATTATGAGGAATAAATATTTAAAATAAACCAGTAGTTAGGTAACACCCTAATTAAGAGTTTCAGTATGTCGATCAAAAAAACTTAATCAGTAATTAACAAAAAATATTTTGACAATTAAAACCGTCACTTAGCAACCTTGAGTCGAACTAGAATCCAATACTAAACTGATGTCTTACATTTCCAAGTAATTAGAATTTGCACATAGCAAGCCACGGTTCTCTAGTTTCGTAATAATTTATTAAAACAAACGTTATTGAAACTGGAATAAGTAGAGTGGATCAGCATAAAGGCGTAACCGCGTAACATCGAGAGTCGTCTCACCTCTCGCACATACTATTGCCATATGGACTCGATGCATATTAATGTGGACCGCATAACTCCTTACCTCCGACAATGTGGTTACGACACTTCCTGGTACAAAGCTAGCCCGAGCTGCAGGAAACAATACAGCAAACAAAGCCTGCGCGACTCACTTAGAAAGATCCATAGAAAATGGTAAAAAAGTTTTATGAATCCCCAAGGGTCGACCCAAAAAATGTCTAATGTTCAAGTACACGCAAAAAATAACAATGGTCATCCAACTTATTACCTGGTCAGTAAGTGGGTAAATGAGTCTCTATGTTTAACATTTCATAAGCTTGCATGATGAAAACCAAGAATCACACTGTTATCAGAACTTATAATGATAGCAAGTCAGATCACAGAAAACAACATGTTGACCAAACAAGGACACATGTGTTTTCAGACGATCATGACGTTGCTTGTTTTACCTACTCGATATTGTTTAATTCCATCATCAATATTCATTTTACGCCATGGTCGTACTGATTCAACAAACACACGTTTGACAGTTGCGAAATTGTGTGATTCAATAGCAACAATTTTGATTAAACAATGTCTTCCTACGTAAAATGGACCTTTGAATATACAAAACTGCGAAAAAACTTCGGCAGGGAACCATTGTTTCAGATGGTACCAGCGACAATATTGGATTCGATTTACCCTAACAAAGAAGATCAAAAACAGTACATACTCCGAAATCCAGTGCACCGTGAAGTGCAAGCTACATACTCTGCATCGACAAATACGACAAATACGCCATTGTTAAAAACCCACGATCAAAGTATAAACCATACTGAGGGCGGCTGGCCTAAAGAAGTCAACCCTTTTAACGAAGATCACGTTCAAAGACATCGTCGTAGAATTATGCATGAAGACAGCTACATACAATCAGTACAAAACTTGTCACCATCGTTGTTCCACTGTATAGACCAAAACAATGCCATAGAAATGTACGAAACATATTATGGTAAAATGCCCGAGCAGAAACCTGTAGAAAAATATGACATACGAATCGCTAACGTGTTTCGCGACGAATATCAAAGACCCATATCGTGTGTCAAGTGGACAAATGAAAAACACGCTAAACTAGCGGTTGCTTACTGTTACAAAACATGCATGCCAGAACCAGAACTAAACAAGGTTAATGATTGTTTTGTATGGGATGTTCACAGACAAACAAAACCAGTATACATTTTAAAACCTAAATACCCTTGTTGGCAACTGGCGTGTTCTCCCTCAACCCCTGAACTCTTGGTATGTGGCCTTGAAAAAGGCATCGTTAATTTATTCGACGTACGTGTAGGCGAAGCAGCTGTGTCATCTAGCTCTGTCTACAATTCACATCGCGAAGGAGTAACATCACTTCTCTTCATACATTCTCGCACAAACTCGGAATTCTTTACTGGCTCATCTGATGGACAGTGTCTTTGGTGGGATTTGCGTCAACTTTCACAACCTCTGGATCAATTGCCGATGTCAGTGAGATACAAAGCATCAGAAGAACCTGGTCTAAACAACGCTGAGGGAGTGAGTACATTAGAATTCGATCACGGCCTGCCAACAAAATTCCTTTGTGGAACCGAAACTGGTTTAGTAATTAATGCAAATCGCATGGGAAGAAGTCATGCTGATATTTTAGTTTCGTACTGGGATGCCCATTATGGGCCTGTACAAGCCGTGCAGAGAAGTCCTTGTACAATGAGAATGTTTTTGACGTGTGGAGATTACACGGTTAAAGTGTGGAGCGAGGAAGTTCGCACCCAACCTATCATTGTAGCACGGCCTTATAAGAATTTGGTAGCTGATGCCGCTTGGGCACCTTTGAGATTTTCATCTTATATGTCGATATGTGCAGATGGCGTCTTTTATTACTGGGATCTGCTTCGCAAGTATAAGGAGCCAGTAACAACTCTCCAGGTATCTAAATATGGCCTCACTAGATTGACTCCTCATTCGGGTGGTGAATCAGTAGCTGTAGGGGACTGTAAGGGTGCTTTACACTTGTTGCACTTAGCAAAAAGTATGGCAATACCTGGGAATCGTGATAAATTACTCATGGGTCAGGTGTATGAACGAGAAACAAAACGAGAGCATATACTGGACACTCGTGTAAAAGAAATCCGATTGAAAGCGAGAGTTGAGGAAGAACTCTTAATTAATGAAATACCAGAAGAAATAACTGATGCGGAGGAAGTGGAACAGGTAGCAGAAGAAGAGTACTTTAGAATTGTCGAAGAGGAATTAAAAAAAGTGGACGGATATTCCGAACAAGAACATGAATAACGGTAGCGTTTTTTCATGTATTAAATACATACTTTTATGTTGCTAGTAATACATATCAATTTTCAAAATAAAAGAGTTAGATACCATAACAACGCGTATAAAAATTGGACTAATTTTTAGGTACAGTGAAATGGTTTTTAAGACTAGTAGTCAAAGACATATTATTACTATCGAAAGATATATTATTATCGCGTAATGTTTTATTTTATCTTTATTCAATCATGTTATTTATAAAACTACACCTGACTCACGAATAAACGGAGAAAATGAATTACTTCACGGTATGTTGGTACCCATGAGCGATATGAGATGTTTAATGTTTGTAAAATGCCACAACTTAAGCGCGCAACCTTTGTGAAATATCTGATTCATGTTATTGAAGTGACTTGAAGGCTTACTGCTCTAGGCATAAAAGCTTTGTACATACAGGCTTCACTGAGTGGCTAACAAAGAGATTACTGCTTGAGTGATTGAATATTAACTGCAGATTATAAATAAGCGGAAATGTTGTTTTGTCTGTCATGTTTAGAACATGTTTACAATTTACAAGAACAGCAGTCCCGGATGTTTAGTATCGAGAAGCCCGCATGTCTCAGAGCAGATCCGGCGACTCGGCAGCAAGGGCCATGACCGCCGATTTGTACAAAACGACAATTCTAACATGAGCTGTCAGATTTCAATAGAGATGCCCCTTCGTAAACATATCTGACGAATTAATAAGAGAGGCGGGGGAGCTCTAATTAGACTGGTGGCGTAAATTACTCGAGCCTCGTGAGTTGCGTGAATACAAAAGTGCGTCACCGGCAACTTTCACCGCTTGGTACTTACCACTCCAGGCGCAGGCGCACGCACCGAGCATGCCAGCCTCGATCCCATTCAACGCGCCTACAAATATTTGCTTTTTATATCTACACATTCATGTTAAAATATGGCCGGCTCTACGATCCAGGCTATGTCCGATATCCACGGCAAGAACATCTTACGTAACCTTTTCTTAACTTTCAAATTAATTATTTAATTAGAAACTTCAAACAACTACAAACTTCAAAAGTGAAGATATCTCAGCAAAATTTGCTTTAAGTATATAAACGTGTTCCTGAAACATCGTAGTAAAATGTTAATTACTAATTAGCTAGGTAATCTAATTTGTTACAAAAGTGCTGGATACATTTTAATGTTCATCTTAAGTGCGATACTAAGATTAACGAGGAATGCGTTCAGTACCTCGACTATGTAGGTTAATGTCTAGGAATCCAGACTTACATACAAATACACAGAACATTATATTATACGTGTCTATAAATTGTACCTGTGCATATCTAAATAATAACAGCGATAGACAAGCTGCTGCACACTGCTGTATAACTAACCACAGATTATAAATACCTCCGTACGTATTATACTGAATCGATTATGATTGCTATGTTCGTTTCGTTTCTGCAAATTATAACCATAAATGATTGCGAGATCTAGAGGAAAAACAGCTTTATGTTAGATAATAATTGTGTTAATAATCGATTAATAAAATTGTAATGATATAACGTGGTCAATTTATAAATTAAAATACATGGATAGATCTCTTAAAATAAATGTGTAAAACATTTTAAATGCATATCAAAAATCATTTAAGCATGTAAGTCAACCGGGGTTGCAGTTGCAAGCGCAATAATAATGAAATTATGTATAGCGGCCCCGGTATGGACCAGGAGAAGGAATTCTTAGTCAGTCAGAGTCTGGCACGAGCGCTCGCCCTCCCGGGACGGGAAAAGCCATTTGATAATTTTACCCCCTCAAAAAGCACACACAGCTTGAAGTATACGCAAAATCACTTACAGTCTGCTTATTAAAATACCTTTTCTATTTATTAATATATATAGTAGATAACATTTTGACTAGCTAACTATTGACATAGCTAAACTATAACATTAGACGTCTTGATTTCGTTTAAAAACAAACGATTTATTTCATTTTTCAATAACCAACAACAGATTCATTATTACACTCAAATATTAAGCAAAAGTGGCACTGTTTCCTCAGCTCATAAACTCCTAATACGTAAACGTGAAGGTAACAGCTGGGTCTAGAATCTAGAATCTAGGTACTGAGTATAAGCTAGGGCGTGCTAGAAGCCATTAGTGGCGCC